GCAGCAGAGAGATTTGGGATCCATCCCAGATCTGTTCCACCATTGTTCTAACGATGCCCAGGCACACTCACAGGAATGATATGACTAAATCAACTTGGATCCGATTCAGATTTCAATATCAGAGCTCTTGCCCTGCAGGCAGCCTCAGTGCCAGGTGCTCCTCGCTGCCCTGCAGGCTGAATCACTGGGCCTCAGACCGTCCAACCTGTCAGCACACACACTTGTCACAATGATTAACAGGCGGCTGACTCAACCACCATCCTCATAAAGTGGACTTCAGGTCCATGTGTGCAAAAAAGGAAAAGACAGTGCCAGTAGAGTCAGACACGGCGAGTATTTCAGCATGTGTTTTATGAGATGGCAGGTCGAGGCAGAGAAGTTATATTGTGATGAATTCTTAATGTGTGCTTCAACAGGAAACTATCAGCAGCCCAGATCATATGACAGGGCCGCTAACTATACTAATTGGTTTCTTTATCAGTTGGGCCAGAGTAGACCTGCTGTGCTTTTAAATCATTCATGACTCAATCCCCAGACCTTTGTGGAGCAATTCATCTATGCTTTCACCTGAGATAATAGTCTGTGTCATGTCTACGTATATCAGCTATCTAATTATCGAGGTGACTACGTGTTTCGGCCAGGTGTAAACACGAGCTTTTCAAAAACACACTGTGGAGCAGTGCTAAATGAAGGATCAGAACGTCTAACTTTAGAGACTTCTGTCAGCCTGAAAATACCCACCAGCTGGTCATCAAGCAACCGCCTCACACATTCATTTGAAAGCTACATCTCACTTAAGAACAACTCTACTTTATACTTTATGTACAAATGATTGTGCTTCTCACCCTACATTTTTCTCAATAATTTAGCTACTTTTCAATGAATATTTTCATCTAAAATATATGGTAAATGTTTAAAATATATATTTTTTAAATAACATGATATTAAGTTGTCTGTCTTGAGCTACAGCATTAAAGTGCATATTTATACAGTATAAGCCGATTATAAAATGATGTTCTATAATAATATAACTCTCTGAAAGGGGACATGCAACACAGTGAATGTGCTACTTTGATAGCTAAAATACATTTTGAAAAGCACATCTATGTACTGCACATATGCTGAGAGCAGACTCTCACTGATGTAAGAGACGTCTTCAAGTTAGACTTTTGAAATGAGAATATTTACATCTTCATAGACTCTGGGCTCTTCTGAGGGAGGAGGTGTAGATGTCATTTTAAGAATTTCTCACAGGGTTATTCAATCTCTATATAAAAATACCATATCAGACCCACATTGTTATTCGTACAGAGTATTTTTCTTGCCTTTGAACATGTCTAGAGGGAATCTTGGCGGGGAAATACATTTTTAATGCAGGATTTACACTTGTAAAGGAGCAATATTACCCTGTCTCAGAGCATCTTATCAGGGTCACCTGTCTAAGTCTAATGCAATCCAATGCAACAGCTCTGCCATTAATTCTACCTTTATAGAGATAATAAGGTTTGGTTTGAACTGAAACTGTCGGGGAGTTGTTAATTCACTATCCATTCCAGCACAATTACACCACCGGCTACAACCTCAGTAATAAACATGTAGTTGAATTAACACCTCTTTGACATTGTCAGTAAAAAGGAAAAAAAACTGAATATTTCAATCTGCTTAAAAGTAAAATTTGTGGCAGATCTTGTGTTTTGTTTTGCATTAAATTGGATGAGTATATTGTTGTAGTATTTTTGCTTCATTTAAGGCCCCCACCTCCCCTAAAATACGTTTTTCTTCACTGTTCTTTCCCACGACCCTAGTGAGGATTAAGCGGTGTATAGATATTGGATGGATGGATTTTATTCTTTGTTGTCTGACTGAGAGTTTAACACTAGAGGGCTGTTTTCACATTCATCAGCTGAAAGAGGGTTTTTCCGAGCTTACCTTAAATCAAATTTACAAGCATATTTGTGGCATTTTTTCCGGCAATCTCAGCCCAATAAACAACTTATGAAATTTACTTGCGTCACACATTCACATGGGGATGCAGGCGAGATCTTGTTTTGAGTATGTCTTTTTAGATTCTAGATTCTAGTCATCTAGATCATGGTAATCCTGAATTTCAGTGGAATGCATTTAGACGCCTCTTTTTGGTTCTTGAAGACATTTTACTTCTTTTCAACTTTCAAGTCCTTTTCATTGATGTAACCTCTAAAAACATATTTCTGTGTGTCAAAGTTACGTATTTACTAGCTTCCTCCAGAATGTATAGATCTACAAAGTCCCTGCCTCTCTTTTGCTCCACAACTGTGCCGCTCGCTGCAGCTTGAGCACACCAGCTCACCTACGACCTTGTTAAAACACTGTAAAACTACTGCAGGCTAACTACGTGTAACACTGGAGTAAGACATACATGTTTTAATCTGAAACAGATTCTGAAGAATAATAATAATACATAAAGTCCTACTACACAAGTGGATTGGTTCCTTAGGTTTGTGACATAAGAAACCCTGGAAGTCTAAGTCCATGTTTTTGAAACTGTCATCAGTAAATTTCAGTTGGACATGCTCAGCCGTGGTGTTTACTTCTCATTTGGCCCATGATATGCCTTTGAGCTTGTAAAAACACCATACGCAGATGCTAACGTAGCTGTAATTTTATGAAATGTTTTACCTAGGGATGCACGATATATTGGCGACCACATCGGTATCAGTCCATATTCGTGTTTTTTTTCCATGTATCGATACCGCTCCGATGAGCAGATTTAGCTGATATGAAAAACCGATGATTGTTTACCATTAGCACCTTCGTTTCCATAGAGATGCCGGCACGCATAGACGCAGTGGCCCCTTCAGGAGACAGCGAGAGAGAAAATTTTAAGTGTCTTCTTTATCCCAGATGTGCATTCTGCAACACTTACGGCCGAGAGACTTTGCTGAGCATCAGGGCAATGAACGTTGCTAAAATTGCGGCGCTCAGTTGTGATTTGGACGTACTTCACCAACATGGAGTCTGACCGGAGACTACGCTGGCAGTTACCCGAGAGAGAAAGAAGCGCAAACAGTACGAAGGTAAACAAAGGAAGAGGAAGAGAGCCGGGATCCATGCTAGGCTAAAGGCTAGGCCCTCCAGACCAGCAGTACCGTCGCTCCTACTCTACAATGGTCGCCCCCTCGACAACAAGCTGGACGACCTACGTTTGCTGAGGGAAACCTGCAGAGAGTGGAGGGACTGCTGTGAGTTTGCTTTAACAGAAACATGGCTCCATAACACCATCCCAGACGGACATACAGCTGGAGGAGATGACATTCAGGGTCCTTGCCAGGATTTTTTGTCAGCTTGTCAAAGTGGGGGTGTCTTAGCGAATACTGTTAATGGTTAGTGACGAATGCGCTCGTGAATAGCAGCGGTAGCAGCGAAGATGATGGTAGAGAAACTGCATCGGTGCTTGTTAAATATTTCCCGCTACATTCAGGAAGCAATGTAACGGGCCGTTACCCTGCTATAATGCTGGCGAGAACCATGGACATTGTTCCGGGCAGACAGACAGACAGCTAGCTCTGAACTTTTCCAGAGCTGCTGTAGGAGCAGGACACTGAACGTTGACAGGGACTCCTCACACACTCTTTGTAAACTGTTTGAACTGTGCCATCAGGCAAACATTTCCGGAGCATTAAAGGAAGAACCTCCAGAATGTTCAACAGCTTCATGTCACAAGCTGTCAGAATGCTGAACTGCTGATCCAGATATGCAAACACTTCTTTATTGAATTGCTTTTAGTTTTTGGATCCTGAAGAAACGCTCTCTCATCTTGTTTATACTGCTGTTGTATGTACAGCAAAATGACAGTAAACTTGATTTGATTCAACTCTACATTTGATATTGCTGCTATTTCATAGATGTTTTTACATAAATGTTCCTGGACTTTAACGTTAAATATCTTAAAATATGTTTAAATATGTTTTACATTTGTTATGTAATAAGAAGACTATGTGGTCTAACTTGGTATGGACTTCTATTGAATAGTTTTCACCTTCTCACAGTGCTCATTAATCCTCATTTTTCGGTGTGAACAAAAATTGAATATCGACATCGGTAATATCGGTTATTGGCGATATCAGAGATCTTAATATCGGATATCGGTATCAGCCAGAAATTTTAATATCGTGCATCACTAGTTTTATCTTATTTTTGAAAATAACTTAAACATGACGTGAAAAATACGTAAAAATATTAAGAAAACTGACATTTCATTTACATGTCTAATGTAAAATGGCATTATAAACTTGGGAATAGCCATTCAAAAGTTTCCATTTTAATATCACAGATATTTGCTTTTAATTTAATAGATGACACTGTTATATTCAAGTTCAATATCATAAATATGTTTCTAAAATCAGATACAATAGGTAACAGTTTTTACAACAGCAATGTTGAATGAATGTATGTCAACATACGGCTAGATAATTCATTTTAATTATGAACTATTGCTGTATTTTTATGAGGTACTTATTTTTTGTTATTTTACAGTATTCCTTTGGTTCCCCAGTTGCTGTTGTTTCTTTTTTGTGCAATGTAACAAATTAGATTTTCACTTAAGGGGATCTTTAAAATAAATATTTCTATACTCAGAGCTCCTACTTTTTTACAATGATTGGCGAAAGGGTTGATCAGGTTTTGAGATTTTATTTTTTGTAACTTTTTTGCGAGAAAGGAACATGAAACACACTTTATTATACAAAAATAGTACTTTCAAATGCCTGATGTGAACTGTCCCTTATCTCGATGTTTGCGTTTACCTGGACACTTGAGTAAAGAGTCAAACAGGTGGTGGACCTGAGAGCTCCACATGCTGTCGTTATGAATTAATTACTGTGGGTGTATTTGATATGCCCCGCAGCCCCTCCCTCGGTGTGAAGCACTGGGCGGGGCGTAAAGACATACACATTGTGCTTCCCTGGCTGGCGGGGTTTAGGAGGATTACCGTGGCTGGCTGGCTGGCTGGCTGGGAGAGGAACCATAGCGTAGCCGCCGTTGGTCGGGTGTCCAGCAGCGGCAGCGGCGGTGAGTGGGAGCTGTGATGGCATGTGTTCCCCGGAGGATGTCCACGGTCAGTGTAACTCTGGACGACGACGAGGCGGGAGATCCAGTTTGAGTCCGCAGATTATGTCCGGAGCTGGTCGTGCTGCTGTGGAGAAAAGTTTATCACAAGTAGGGACACAGTTCCATCAGCGGCGGTAATATGGTAAATATACATTTTCTACTCATTTGAAGTTACCTACCGTTCGCTAACTACCTCCACAACATCACCCAAGAGAGACAAACATCTAGCTGTCGGTGTTAAAATCCACCACCTCTCCATTTCTATACATTATTTTGACGTTGTGTAATTTTTGGCCACGTCGGACTGCTGTGAACTAGTTGGAAAAACGTCCAGTTTCGCAAACATGTCGAAGTTATTCTACAATACGCTCGTCTGTAAAACTAGCAAACCGTCGGGTTGTGTTATTAAAGTATAAGTGGAGTTTTTTCCTCTTTTCCAAGCAGCTTTTTGACCAACCTTGAACAGCTGTCACTCCGCTTTCTGCCGACTAGTCCCGACACGTCTGGTTTCATTGTGCGAGGAGATCATGTCAGACTTCATTTAGGAAATCCTAAATTATTCTCTGCTTGTCGGTAAACGTGCACATTGACTCAAGCACAATGTTTTACAGGCTCATCGTGAATCTTAAGGAGGCTTTCTGTAATTCGGCACACATCCTAAATCACTGCACTTTCTCAGATATTTCCCATTTTGTTGATCTCATACTATTTAAGCTGATGCAGCTCTAACTTTATGTTTGTATCTACACTTATATATAAGGCATCGTTAAACTGTCAGGTTCTGTGATGGATTTGATGGAGAAGGAGCTTCTTCCAGATCCTCAGCTGGTGAGCAGACAGTAAACTTGTCATCATGTTGTCTGTCATTCTGACACTGTGCTCAGACGACCTTTTATTATGTTGACTTCTTATGATGTAGACATCATGTGCACTGTTTGCAAAGCATTACTGTATACGCACCCACAGGCAAAGCCAGCAGTGGAGCGGGTTTATCCAGTTTGTCTGCAGGTGTTTCTTTGATTTCAGGTGAATATTTTTGCTGGTATACATATCAACATGACACAGACGTGGGCGTGAAGACAGAGCCAGAGAGATTGTTGTTTTTCCCCAGTTGTGCTGACGCTCCTATATCACAGAGCTCCTTGTCGGAGAAGGGCAAATGGTCACGCAGCCTGTGCCTTCCTGCTACATGAATGCCACACATGCTGAGGTGACATGCTTGTGTCAGTACGCTGCTTCTCCTTAAGGTTGAATAGCGTGACGTGTTATGACAGAAAAACAGATTCTTCTTTGACCCAGTTTGTGAGGCCCCGTACAGAACTATCAAGATGACTTATCGGCTACGAGTTATGTGACAGCTTTCAAAAGAGGAGTGGGTGCGCTTTGGTGCTGCCCTGCGCTTCACAGGTGTTGAGCCACTTTAGAGCTCCTGCAAAATTTCTTTAAGATCACAGTGTTCTTCTCCAGTTTCACTCAATTTGAATCTAATTGTAAAAAGAGCCATCATCCCTTCAGAGATGGAAACAAGGATTTTTTTTGCCAGCTCACACCCACATACACAACTGCGAACCATGTTTTTGCGGTAGTGTCCTGCTGTCCGCTCAGCATCCATACACTCAGGTGTACAAGAGAACACGCAGAGCCATTTTTCAGCTGATGACACCTTTTATGAGCTTTTCAGTGACCTGCTGCAGACCATTCCTCACCTTTTTAACCTTTATTGGACAGCACACAAGGGATGCTCGTGGTCGACTAAGCATCTTTCCAGCGATGCCTCTTATTCTCACCTGGGAGCGGTCCAGTACATGTTTAGTTTACTTCTGAGCAGCTCAGTTTGTGCAGGATGAAGCCTTACCCGAGGGAGCCTCAGCAGGTTATTGCAGTAGTCGTCCACTTTCCTCAACCACAGTAGCCCGAGAGTCGAGTGAGTGTAGAGGAGGGGATGGGCGGGGGCAGGATCTATTGGCTCAAGCTGGGTGAAACACTGTAGTGTGCACAAAACCATTTCCACAGAAACACCTTTCTTCCAGTCACTGTGTTATTTTGGTAACCAGTGATTCTCAGCTCATCTGGCCTGATCTTGTTGAGTCAGGCAGCAGCTCAGTTGAGGAACCAAACAAATTAGCGTGCCGAATCGGTCGATTAATGGATCAGTCGGGCCTCAGAAATGTAATCAGGAGAAGAATCTCTACTTTGTTGTGTCATGTATGATAAAAAAAAAACAAAACACTTGAATATCTTTGAGTTTTAGACTGCTTGTTAAACAAAACAAAAATAACTGGAACTTGCCAAATTAGGTTTTAGGAAATGGCTTGGAACTGCATTTTTCATATTTATATTTAAAAGACCAAAAACTGAAGAGTAATTGGCAGAATGATTGGATGAGTTTGCAGCTGCTGCAAATTATCCCAATTTTGTTTCATTGTCTGTAGGAGTCACTTCAGATGTTAAACAAGCAGCACAAATTAGATGAAATGAATCAAAATGGGTTAGCAACTATCACTTTTTAACACTGATTAAAGGCTATTATTTTGAAAAATTGAATATTTTTCTCACATTTGCTCAACCTGAATTACACAAGCAGCACGTGCAGACTCTAAACTTTGCTTTTGTTGCAACAGTGTGTTAATTATAAACAAGGGGGGAAAATACTCAGTTAAACAATGACAAAAGCAGCCACAGCTTAGACAAATAAGACTCTCTAAATGCCTCTAACAGCACCTAAAACAGTGTAATGACTAATTCTAAGGGCGTTTTCAAACCTGTGCGGCTCAACCTGCCTGATTCTGACTCACTGTGGTATCATTTGTTTGGGAAGAACATAGCACTCTTTAGGAGAAGTGGTCTTGGTCTGATAGCAAACGAAATATGGAACAGTTTGTTTGTGGAAGGAACGTGATCGAGCCTCGGTCTGTTCAGATTACAAGGTGTACTCTCCAAGTTTGTGCAAATGACTGCTGTAACTGAGCACGCCTTGCATGCTGTGATCCTGTGAATAAGCAAAATCAGCTGTTGCTTGCGAGTAGCCAGAGAATAAATTGTGGTTTGACTGGGACTACTGACAAAGTGTGTTTCCTTCAAAATATTGATATGAATAGGGCCTTATTCCTGTGTTTATTTCCCCGAAAGCATCTAACCAACAACTGTGCTTTTAAGTTTGTGTTGTGGTTCTCTTTAACTTTTTCTATGAAAGGAAGGCAAACCGATAAGAAAAGAAAACCAATTTACCAGCTCATCCACTGAACTGGAGGAGAGCAAACAGAATCTAGCTTTGAAAATGTCCTGAAAGATGCACTACAAACTGATTTAATGCTACAAACCTCCCATCGTGCAACACTCTCTGCTTTGAAAGCGTATCAGATATGTAAATGTCTAGTCCTCCATGAGATAAAACTCCTACCTTTTCGGATGTAATTTCCTGAGAACATGTTCTTGTTTGAGCCAGTGGCTTATATTTTGTGCCTTTTTCCGAGGTTGCAGCAAGGAGGGAGAAACACGATACATAATGTACACTCACGCATTTGGCATTTCCTCAGCATCTCTGCTCAGTTCAGAGGGGTCCTCTGAAGGACCCACATCAGCAGCTGCAGAGATTTGGCATATGCAGGAGATATGGAGAACTCATCTCCTCGATGATTAAAAAGAGAAAGCAACTGATATCATCGAGGAAATTGATTTGTCCAGACGGGTGGAAGGACTGCTGTTGACTTGGAAATATCAATACGGTCGGTTCTTAAAGGTCAGCTGGCTCTTGCGTGCGTTTATTTACATAAGCCTAGGCCGTGTGTGTGTGCAAGGGGTGTATAATTGGTGCATCAGGTTACCTTTCTTCTTGCTGTCACAGATCACTTTCAAAGAGGAAGATGTTGTCCTCTATGAACTGGACTTGTGTGTGTTTTTGATTCAGAGGAAAGGGATGGGGGTGTGTTTCCTCCTCTGAGCTCCTCACGGTATTCCCTCTGGGCAGCAGAGACTTTCCTTCTTGTGTCAGTGAAAAGGAGATTGTCTTTCCCAAGGTCTAGTTCCACTTTCTTGGCACAGCGCAACAGGAATTTATTTTACTATCACTAAAAATAGCACGCTTCTGCCATCAGTCACATCAGGTTCGTTAATGCTTGTCATTTGTTTTGGCTGAGAACTGCACCGTGAACACACTTTTATGAGCCCCTCAGCACCGGATTGTCAGGCTCCCAAGAAAAGAGGATAATCTGACTCTGCACTTCTCTGCTGATTTAGGATCTTTCTGTGCAAGTTTTCAACACATTTTTATACTCTCTGATTACTTTTGGTCAGAGTTACATCTTGTGGCTATTTCTTGCTATTGCTCGTTATTTATTGTAATTTATGAACAACATGTGTCTTGCATTAGGGACTGAAGTTGACAGACAGAAATCCATTTCACTCTGCAACTAGTAACTACACCTGTTAGCAATTAGTTTGGCCTACTGTTGAGCAATCTTCTGGTTTGGCTTAAAAAATGTCAGAAAATGGTTACAAATATGTACATGGTTGGTTTCCACAGTTGGGTCACATCTTTAAAGCTCCAGCTAACAGTCCAAAATCATATAAAACAAACAAAAGCAGTAACCCTTAATATCTGAGAGGCTTCCACATCAGTTTCCTGGCAAACATAGCTTTTGAAACTGATTATCAGAACTTTTGCTGATAATTTTTCAAGCAAAACTAGCAAACACTGTCCAGTTCCGTGTAGATAAGCTCCTTGTTTCTGTTTTCGGCGGCGGGGGAGTGACAGATACACTCCACCGTTATCATCCGTGTTTACTTGCGTAAACACTGAGCACGCTCGCTGCGTGTGACGTCGTCGTGTCCTGCACACGTGGGACACTTCTGGGTCGCATGAAGTTCACACAGCAGATCACATACAAGTCGCATTTAATTGGAAATGTGAACGAACTCGCAAAAAATCATATTTCACAAAAAATCCAAATTGAGCATTAAGTCCTGCAGTCTGAACGTAGCCAATCTGTCGGATTGTTCAGTCAGATAATACGCCGTTATCCTTATTTGTGACATAAAATATCATGCCAGAGTCGGAATCCAAGGCTGTCAGTATGTTAAGGCTATTTTTAATGGGATTCATTTGTTTTTACTAAAAACCTGTTGGATAGCAAGGTTTTCTGA